CCTCCCTCCTTTTGTGATGTTAGGCTCATTTAAGCTTATTTTTGGATATATATCATGCCTCACATAATCCTCTGTTTCACAATCTGTTGAAAAACACTATTTCTATAATTACCATTTATCAGGCAGTTATAAATTATGAACTGTGGGTAAGGCATCGATGCAGTGCTTTAATTGACTATAGTATAAAGTATAGTTTGCCTATTAAAGTATAAGCATTAAGAGGGGTGTAATGTAGGATAGTAGTTTAAAAAAACGGGCGGAAAAGTATAGAAGTATATGGGTTGTAGATTAGGTAACGAGTGGAGGAATAATATTAATTGCTAGTCAACATGATGTGCAGAAGAGTAAAAAGCAAATAAGCAATAAACAAGGATAGACTTACACTAACTTGGTGCTGATGTTCTTTTGTGTTGTCCTAACCAGTTGATGGGTAACAGGCTTCAAAGATGCAGTTCGATCGGTGGTAGGCAGTCGATTGCGCGGTTCTCTTGACTTTTTAGGGTGGTAGTGAGTGTCTCTTAGCGACCGAGTTTAGTTGAACAGTATCAGCAGGTCCAGTGAGTTACCTGTCTACTTTAAGTGAAGAAATAGAGACTTGATCCATTGCAAAAGGGGATTTATAATTCCAACTGACTCAAGTCTGTTGATTAGAAGATTATGAGGTACTTTATCGAAAGCTTTCTTAATATCGAAATATAGTATAACCACCAGTTTCTTTTGATCACGTATGCGAGTAACCTCGTTAAAGAAGTCTATCAGACATGTACTGCACGACCTTGTTCTAATGAAGCCGTGTTGGTGATACTGCATATAATACGGTTTATTATTATTCTGTTTTCACAAACACTCTTATTAAACTCTTCTCATGTCTCACGTTTCTTTCCATCATTTTTTCCTTTCTTTCCTAAAAGTCAACAGTGTGTTACTCTAAATTCTACAGAACTTGTTCAAATATGACTAATATTGTGCAAACATTATTGAGACTTGTGCATAACTGCATTTCTGAAGAAACAAAATGGTTTCGTAGTGACCTACATCTATCAAGAGAACGCGATTGGTGTAATGGAAACGATTATTATTATAACTAATCGTGTTTGTTTGACTGCACTAAAAAACACAGATTCTTCTGTTGGCTGTGACCTTACGCTCAGTAGTTTACTTTTACTCTTTGGCATGATCTCGGTATTCTTTCGATACCACGAGATTACCAACAAATACATCTTACTGCAACCCTCAATTACCTTCTGCTATTTGGCCTACCGACGGATCTACCGCAGTAACTGCCACGTAGTTTCAATGTAGTGGTGATCATAGTCAACCTCGACTCGACCGCACGTTTCAACTCTACTATTGACAACACTAAAGTGCCAAGAAGCTATTTATGGATAATAATAATAATAACAAGTGCATTACTATACGCTCTATGTTGCATGTTAAATGCCTGTAGGTGTATTTAGCGAAGCATGACTTCAAGGTTGTCTCAGTCGTAAGACGGAGACGTGTTTTAAAACATCGAATGTATGGTGTAGGCAGAACATTAGAGAAACAGTAGAGAAGACAGATCAGATTGCGGAACACACTGACAGATGCAAATGGACAATCGTGGATTATGTATACATGTTATGTAAACGCCAATCTCTCACAATAAATATTCTTTCTACCTATTGTATTGTTGCACAGTAGTATTATGTCACAATTAAATCATTAGAGAAGCCTCTGTATTCGGGTGTAATATGCATTTAGTATGTCACAAAACTATGAATCTAACTAGTGGTGTAGATAATATAATTCCGAACAGATTATATATAATTTATAAGGCGTATGGATAGACGGCTTATCGATGACTTTGAAAGAAAAGATTGCAGGTTTGCAAAACTTTTAATAGGGACGCATCAAAGTAAGCAGATATATAACCTATATAGGTGTCAACGTCTAGGCTGTACTTGATAGTTTCAAACAAATTGAACATCTAATAGGAGGCTAACAATAAATATATTTTATTGATATCCCACTAGGATATCGGTAAAGTAAAAGAGGGAGATCAAGGAACACATTGAGTCGGGGGTTAGAAGTAAACATCCAATTAATGGATAGAAACCGCAAACAACTAAGAAGGATTGTCCAGGACAGGATTCGATGGAGAATGTTGGTGGCTAGCCTATGCTCCTCCACGAGGAGTAACAGGCGTAATTGTTGTTGATTGTAATCTTGGTTTAGCACAGCGTTGTAGGCTGAATTTGTGTAGGGTCAAATAAAACTTAGGCAAGATACGTAGCATCGACCGAACGAATAATCTAAATGAAATCTGAGATTGCAAGAAATTTATAGCTCGAAGTAACCTTAAACTTCTGGCACTTGTGTTTTCTTATTGACCATGAAAATCAGCAATTAAAATTAAGCAGACAGTGGCCAAGTATGAAAAACATTCCAGTAGATAGTTTTTAACAAAAAAAATGGTGTTCAAAGTGATTAAGCATGGGGACGATTCTATAATCGATGGCTGAATGAGTCTTGCCTACATAAGCCATGGACAGATATACGTTTGCGTTGCCATGTGTATATACATGCGAGTGGTTATCACCAACAGACGTTACACGGAGCACTTGTAATCTACGGATGCTTGTTAAAGTACCATGAGAACCTGCTACAATTGTGGTTGAGTCATTCTTTTTATGTATCGACCGAGTTAGTCAAATTCGAATACTAATCATTAATCGGACTAAACGTGTTCTCAGTAAATGACAAACTTAAGCAACGATATAAATGAAATAGTGTAAGCACAGGATAAAATCATAAAGATTATAATAATAGGGTGAGTTATTCGAAGTTTTTTCCTTTAGTGTAGATCACTAACTTAGATTATCTATGTCGAATGTTTGGGGGACTACTCAAGTTAGATGTCGAAGTCACGCCTTGCAGCTAGTACCTAAAGTGCGATGCCCTTTCGTTGTATCCAATCATAATGGCTGCCTTGATGACCGTATAACAAAGACGAAGCTATTACAGAAACATATTAGTAAGAGTAGGTACAAGAAACAGAGCGCAGCCATCACATGTAGTAGCCCATGGCGTGAGAATAAATGATGAGTGATGGTTGTCCTTGATCTTGGTGAGGATCGGTGAGCCGTTTGACATTCAGTGACCCAGCTGCCTGATGGTTTGGCTAGTGCATATTGGCATGTCACTGGCCTTCAACTAAGCAATCATCGTGTTATAGAACTACGCTGAAAGTTAAATAGCATTTCAGAACTTGGGTCCGAAATCTAGCTTCAGATTTGCAATTCCTAAAACTTGTGACTTAGGTTTGGGGCCGATTGTGCGCTTGGAAACGATGAACATAAAGTTGAATCTAGTGTTATTGAACGCGCAACCTCCCATATATATGAAGTGTCTATGAGTGGTCTAAAACACAAAGAATGTTTCTGCTACATGTAAGAACTTACTTGACACTGTGTTAAATTCCGCCCAACACATGAATCGTCTGCTCAGAATGATAAATCAGTAAAGTCAACCGTTATATACGTCGAACAAGAAGCACAACATACGGGATTGCATTAGAGAAGAAAAACAGGCCATTGATTATTGGGGAACAACTTCATTAGCTGTAATTCAGCAGATGCTTTTAACATTCATGGAAGACTATGAAAGTCCAAAACTCACTGATTGTCAGACATGTACCCTAAAGTCGAATAAAACGATGTGTTGCACAATTTTTCAACCTCTAGAAACGTGTGGGGCTACTTACATTCACATTCTTTACGTAACTAGTTATTATAGACCCTGAAACCAAACTATTCAGCCTATGGTTTCTAGAAAATACAACACAGCAGCAAACAAGCTATTTACACTAAAATAGACAAAAGACTTAGTTTATATTGCTAGAGACCACCTTTGTGATCTTCAGACATCAACCGACTATATAAATATACGAGTACCTGTGGACAATTTTAGTATACACACACATCAGACCTGTTGACTTATGATCTACTCCGATATTAGTACTGCTTTATATGATAGAGCACAAACTTGGGCTAGAGATATGACAATATATTTAATATGAATAAAAGATATATGACCACACTCATGAATGACAACGCCTGCCATCTGATCAATTTGAATTAATTAGACTCATTCTTCCCACCTTCAACATCGTTGGATTTTTCCCCGCGTTAAGTGCTGAATATCTATTTTCCCAGCTTTGAGGATTGTTTGGCTAGGGCCCGATGCCACTACAAACCTCAAGCACTCCAAATACAAAATACCGCCGTTAGTCAAGCCCTCCAAGGTTGTTCAGGTAAAGGCGCGGTCGGGTTTGGAAGGTGACTTTCAGCTCACCATTTACTGCACGGACCCAACATCCAGATTGACAATGGCAATGACCTGGAGGATAAATTGATTCGAAGTAAAGCATACGTAGATGAACGACATCATCTTCTTTGTCTAGGTTGTAGGGGTGAGTAAGAAGTTGTATGCTTTTCGGAAGAATGATGATCACTATCATCATCTACGTCCTGAATGCATGCATCTGACTCTGACGAACTGCGTTTACGTCCATATGTACAGACATATCTCACAAAAAATACTTTGGAGTTGGGTCATCCCTAATCTTTTTACATACTGACATAACGTACTTAGTATGCGTATACTACAAAAATAATCATTAACCACAGAAGTCATATTACCTTATGTACTTCTTTCAAACAGGTCTCAAAATTGTCTCCGAGATAACATAATATTATTAAAGATTCGTCCAATATCATGCATCATCATGATGGCATTATCTTCATTACTTGAAGGATGGACGTTATCAGACATGGTGAGGCTGAACTCAATTCAAATCTAAAAATGTCTTGATTTGACCGCCTCTGAAAAACTTCACGAATTGTCGATGTGACGCACCAATAATCTTGCGGCAGTTTGACCTTCAGGCGCTCGCAACCTCCTGCAGTGGACGATACCCCTAAAGCGTTGCCGAAGCCGATCACCGTTCTTCTTTGTTGATGGCGGAGGAGGCGTTTGTCATAACAGATCAGGAAAGACTTGATCGCCTGAATAATGAAGCCAGAGCGAAGAGAAACAGAGATATATCTTTTTCTCCAGACATTTCTCAGCCCTTCAATAACTTTGTGAAAAAAATTTTCGGAACTGAGAAGCCTTACGAGGGTGGTCAGTACTGATTGTTATCTTCGTGAAAATGTTGTTCTAGGACATGGATTCCCTTTGACTTACTCATCTGGAGGGAACTTTCTCCACCGCCCTCTCCTAGATATTCCTGCCTTACAGATGGGCACATCATGGTTCACGATGCAGAATGTTTTTAATTCAAGATTTTGCCAAATCATGGAGCGTGACTTCTTTCGGTAACTATATCTCGAACACTTTTCTCAGATCTTAAAGTTGTGTTGCAAGAGTTGGCCTTCAAAATACAGACAAACATTGCAAAATATACTGGGAAGATTTGCTTGAATGTCAGCATCATGATAAAGCTGTAAGTTGTTTTTTATTTATAGTCATTCCTCTTCATAGAAAAAAAGAGCTATGATGATGAAAAAAGTCAGAGAGGTAAAGAAAATGGAGCCAATGGCCAGTCTGCCGTACAGCGCATTTAAAGACCCCAACTTCTGATGACAATTGATTTCCATGTTCATTTCCAGGGACATTTATGAATAACAGTTTGTTTCATTAGTGTAGATCTACGTCCTCAATCTGTGACTAGTAGAATCTTGTTTGTTTTTGACTACTGTTCTCAAAATATGGGCTGAATGCTTCCCGTACTGTTTGTTCAAAAATAAGTGAGTTCAGCTCTCAAAGTAGTCTAATAGGTACATATGTATACAGCGTTTTCGCATTCGGTTTGCAAAATACAATTTGTCGTAAAGCTTCTAAACTGATGCATCAACCAAAAATTTTTCAGCTCATTATTGTAGTCTGCTTATCAACGATATCGACAATATAATCTTGACTATAGTTCGATTATCCAAATTTCTAAAATAAAAATGTCGAAAACCTACTAATGGGCTAACTGGCTGTCCTACCGAGTTTCCAGTGTTGTCTTGTCGGCCTTCTAAAAGAATCGGGGACCCTTTTCTTTTAGCATTTAGATTTTACCATGAAAACAACTCACTGGAGGTTCGCTGTTCATAATATAATCTAAATACAGTGTTTTTTGATTATCTAAGTTAACGGACATCGTTGATTGACGAAGTCATACCCCCTGATACTGTATATTCTGACCGTGATTCATGTAGCACATAACATAAGACTATGGGAACATCGGTTGCCTAACTGACCGTTGTTGCTACCTTGACGTGGTGGTCGGGCTTGCCTATCGTGATGAAGCAACTGAGCTATACTGGCTGGAACAACCGTTCCTCAAGATCCTACCATGCCAGACAGGTCGGTTGAAGAGCGGTAAGACTAAAAGCAACAAAACCTAGGTCCGAAGGCGAAGTCGTACTGCTGACTGTACAGAGGTGTGACAGCAGTAAGGTTTTTCCTTCAGACAACCAGCATAACAGCGATGCTGCCTTCCCAAAAGGGGGGGAGGTGTTAGAAAAGTTCGACCCTAAAAATACACACCTCGCCTTATCCCACGGATATCCGTCTCCGGCGGTAAGGTCTCAACAAGTACGGAGCTAACACAAAAATTACTCATAAAAAGGTCGTGTGTGACCGACTTCAAGCAGCTGTCCCTTGGGCACTGCGGTCACGCTCTCGGGTCACTATGACCACCTCTAATCCAATTTCCTTTTCAAGTACCTCCAGCAGAACCCTTCCACGGTGTGGGCAACCGGGAAGTGATAACCGCCCTCATACCTCTAACAGCACTCAAGACCAGTGTATTCATAATCAACCTACCTCTTCAATTCCTATTATTCCTCTTACATCGACTTTCAAATCTAAACTCCCTCTTTTAGCTTCCTCCTCAAGTGTCACCACAGCCAACGATTCTAGTGCGCAAAACACTGTCTCAGGTCTACTGAAACCTCGCTCCAAACTACACATTGGAGCCTTCAACGTACGCACACTATGCCAAATCGGTCAGCAGGCTTCCTTGGCTAAAACCTTAGAATCTCGTACGATTGATGTATGCTGTGTCTCCGAAACACGCATACAGGATCCTAGTGTGGTCATTCACTTGACCTCACCTCGGCAAAACGGAGAGCCAACGAGATACACCCTCCGTGTATCTGGCGACCCGATGGCTAGTTCTCGTGGACTTGCAGGTGTAGGCATAGCACTAAGCGTGAGGGCGGAACAAGCGCTATTAGAGTGGATCCCCGTTAATAGTCGTCTATGCGCTGTTCGGCTAAACGGCTCCCTAAGAACTCGAAAGGATAGGGACACACGTCGTTGCCTTTTCGTCGTTTCTGCCTACGCTCCCACTGACTGTAGTTCGGATGAAGTGAAAGATGAATTTTACAGAAAACTCTCTGAACTTCTTCAGAAAGCTAAACGTTCAGACATAGTACTCGTAGCAGGCGACTTTAATGCCCAGGTAGGTAGCTTAAACGAAACAGAAAGACATTTAGGTGGGTATTTTAGTATTCCGGCACAGAGAACAGATAATGGTGATCGTCTGCTGCAACTGTGCTCAGACAATCGTTTATTTTTAGCAATCACAAATTTTAAGCATAAGGAGAGACATCGTCTAACATGGCGATCCCCTGCACCAAACCAACGATGGACTCAAATAGACCATATTGTCATCAGTCATCGTTGGAGAGGGTCGATAGAAGATTGTCGCTCATTCTGGAGTACCTGCTTGGACTCCGACCATGCCCTAGTACGAGCACGCATCTACTTGCGCCTTACTGGACGCAAAAAAGCCACACAAAAAAGACTCATTAGAACCGAATTGAGTAATGAGAAAACCAAAAGTAGGTTCCAGGAACAACTGAGGTCACACTTAGGTAGTTCTGAAAACGAGGCTGACCCCGATGTTGATTGGAAAGACATACAAGCAGCTGTGGAAACAGCAGTGACATATACTAGTGATTTAAACCAAAGGGTTACAAAGAACCAATGGATTTCTTCAAGGTCTATTGCACTGATAGATTCTCGTAAACTCATCCCATCAGGTTCTGAACACGATGAAGAGCGTAAAGAAATCAGATCTAGGTTAAGCAAAAGTCTAAGGAACGATCGTGAGCAGTGGTGGGCAACGAAAGCGAAAGAGATGGAAAAGACGGCGGCTATAGGAAACACAAGACAACTCTACAGACTAATAAATGAAACTGGAATTAATAAATCAAGTGTAAGTCAGACCATTTGGGAAAAAGACGACACTCTCATCTGCTCCCAGTCCAGACGTTTAGAACGATGGGCGGAACATTATAAGGAGCAGTTCAGTTGGCCTTCAGCTACTCTACAACTACCCTCTATTCCCAGACAGTATGAATGGAACATTGAAGTAGGTCCTCCAACTCAAGCTGAAGTTCAAAAGGCTATAGCTAATCTGAAACGAGGAAGAGCAGCTGGTCCAGACAGATTGGCCCCAGAGGTCTTTAAGGATGGTGGTTTAGTTTTAGCGATTAGGTTGACTAATATTTTAGCTAAAATCTGGGAGTTAGACGTTATCCCATCTAACTGGTCACAACCACTTATCGTCCCAATATTTAAGAATGGGTTAAAATCATCCTGTGACAACCACAGAGGGATTAGTTTAACTAATATAATATCTAAAATACTAGCTTCGATAATTTTCGGACGCCTAACTAAGACTCGTGAGCTGCAAACACGTGAAAATCAGGCTGGCTTCAGACCTGGTCGTGGCTGCATCGACCACATATTCACCATTCGTCAGGTTCTAGAACACAGGCATACTTATCGGCGTACGACAATAGTGGTCTTCCTTGATTTAAAAGCAGTATTTGACTCTGTTGACCGAGAGGTTCTGTGGCAGTGTCTGTCATTGAAAGGCGTACCTCAGAAGTACATAAACCTTGTGAAAGCTCTTTACTCGAACACTACTAGTCGAGTCAGAGCTTATGGCGAACTGTCATCTGCTTTCGCAACCTCAAGTAGCGTCCACCAAGGCTGTCCACTTTCTCCATTTTTGTTTAACTTCATCATAGACCTACTGATGGAAATAACGCTCTCATCGACTGAATTCTCAGGTATTGATCTCCTACCAGGAGGTCCACTTATTGACTTAGAATACGCAGATGACATAGTCCTGTTTGGTGAAGACGCTGATAAAATGCAGAGTCTTTTGGTAGCACTAAGCAACAATGCCAGAATGTTTTGGATGCGCTTCTCTCCCTCCAAATGCAAGTTGTTGCTTCAGGACTGGTCTGCATCAACATCTGAACTAAGGATAGAGGGTGAAGTAGTCGAACGCGTTGACAACTTCACTTATCTTGGAAGTCTGATCAGCCCTAATGGGTTGGTGTCTGACGAAATCTCAGCACGGATTCGAAAAGCTCGTTTGGCCTTTGCCAACTTACGTCATCTATGGCGTAGGCGAGATATCCGTCTATCAATTAAGGGACGAGTATACTGCGCAGCAGTTCGTTCCGTTCTACTATACGGCTGCGAAACTTGGCCTTTAAGAGTAGAAGATATTCGTAAGTTACTAGTATTTGACCACAGGTGCCATAGAAATATTGCGGGTATCTGCTGGGATCACCGGGTAAGTAATAGTGAGGTTAGACGCAGGGTATTAGGAAATGATGGTAAATCAGTTGATGAGGTTATGAACCTTCATCGACTGAGATGGTTGGGCCACGTGTTGTGTATGCCTGAACACCGATTACCGCGACGCGCAATGGTAACCGGTGTTAGGGATGACTGGAAGAAAGTTAGGGGCGGCCAAACCAAAACGTGGCATCAGTTCTTGAAGTCACTAACTTCTGGTCTGAGCCATGTTGGTAGATGCAGACTGCCTGGTTGGGGTCCGCGTGACTATCGTAACCAATGGTTGAAGACTCTTGGTGACATGGCTCAGAATCGATCACAATGGCGTCGGTGTATTCACTCTCTGTCTTCCTTTAAACTAAGAGATTAAAATCACTCCAAATCTTTCTTTCTAGGAACTAATTCTATCTTCCTGTACTATCTCCTTATACACACTCTTTCTTCTATATATTACCACCACTGAATTAACTACTTCTATGAATCCGGTGTTCATCTTGTTGTGCTAATGCGGTATGGCAACGTGGATCGATGCATATACGTGCCTGGTCCTACGTTGCAGCTGACTGACTGAGCCGTGCTAGTAAGTCCAGACTATCTTATTTAAGTCCTCAAGACAACTGCGATCAGTTGTCAAAGATAATGTGTATCATGGCTTAAAAATACTGCTTATACTCTTACTACCTCTACCACTACGGGATTTGAATCGACAATTGTATCTGTGTGTGGTATGGCAACTCGAACTGATGTACGTACGTACGAAGTTCTACATTGTTACGGACTAACTGAGAATTAATTTTGATTGCGTAGAGGTATTTACTCTTCGTATTCATGTCTTCTCGTACTTCTTAT